GCCGGTTGAGTCCTCCCCCCCCCCCCCCCCCCCCCCCAGCCCTGAACCTGCTGGAAAAGGTTTCGAAGCACCCCAGTAATTCAGGCAACGGGGGGACGTGCTTGGGAAGTGCCGAGCTCTTGCCGAGGAGGAACAGGCCAACGCTGAGGTTCCTCCCAAGCGCCCCTTCACCTCCTCGGCCACCAAGCTCCGCAGAAAGGCCCCCGTCCGGCGGCCTGAGCCCACCGGCCGTTTGCCCCGCGGCGCTTACTCCACGATGTCGTTGATGGGGATGTTCAGCAGCCTCCCGTCCAGCGTCCTCACGTCCACCGTGCAACCGATCAGCGCCTGCAAGGCAGGGAGCGGGACCCGGAGCTGCGTCTGCAGCCCCCGCGGGCAAACAGAAGCAGGGGCTGGCTCCGGCCCCTGGCTTGGCTCTTCACCTTTCCCAGGGGGATGGTGGCGACGTAAGTGAGGTTGTCGTTGGCCCTTTTAAACCTTGGGTGGAGTTTCTCTTGGACAACGAAGGTGATGTCAGCGGGAATGACGTTTGGGCCCTAAAATCGAGGGGGAAAAAAAAAAAACAAACATACCTGGAAATGGTTTGGCGTAACGCAAGTGATTTTACACGGGGAAAGGTGACGCAAACGCCCGTCCCTTTGTTGCTGCTTTCAGCTGGCTGGGGAGAGGGGAAAGGTATTTTCTTCCTTTAAGAAAAAAAAATAGTCTTTGGTAAAAGACACCCACTAAGCCAAGGGAAATCAGACTGGGTTTCGCAAAGGCGATGACAGGCAGAAAACCATCCCTTTCAGTTATTAATTTTTACCCATCTTAAGGCAAATCCAGGCAGGATGGGCTCCTCCGGGTGTTTCTGAGCACGGTAACACCGAATCGCCCCGTTAGCCAGGCCGCCAACCGCCCGCAGAAACGGGAAACCTGCAAAGGGCGCGCGGTCGGTCCCGAACTTCACACCACGGTCATTACCTGGTCTCCTTCCTTCTCAAAGGTGATCCTGGTACCCTGCTTCCACCCCGGCTGCACGTCAATCGTCAGGATCTTATCTCTGATGGTGCTTGTTTGACCGTCTTCATTCATCACCTGGGGGGTGGGCGAGGGGATTAGAAGAGCAGGGTCCTGTCCAGGGAGGTGGGTCTGCGACCAGGTGGGAGCTCGGCTCCGCTCTGTCAGAGCAGCCAGCACGAGGTGCCGGCTCCACCCGCAGCAGCGCTGAGCCCCCGGGCCGGATCACGACCCTGCGGTGCCAGACACAGCCACGCAGACGGGGCAGGCAACCCTGGACGGCTACCCAGTCTGGCACAGAATCGTAGGATGGTTTGGGGTGGAAGGGACCTCCAAAGGCCATCTAGTCCACCCCGCCTGCCGTGGGCAGGGACATCTTCAACTCGATCAGGTTGCTCAGAGCCCCGTCCAGCCTGACCTGGAATGTCTCCAGGGATGGGGCATCCACCACCTCTCTGGGCAACCTGGGCCAGTGCTTCACCACCCTCAGCGTAAAACATTTCTTCCTTAGATCTAGTCTGAATCTACCCCCCTTTAGTTTAAAGCCATTCCCCCTTGTCCTGTCACAACAGGCCCTGCTAAAAAGTCTGTCCCCATCTTTCTTATCAGCCCCCTTTAAGTACTGACAGGCTGCAATAAGGTCTCCCCGGAGCCTTCTCTTCTCCAGGCTGAACAACCCCAACTCTCTCAGCCTTTCTCCATAGCAGAGCTGTTCCAGCCCCCTGATCATTTTCGTGACCCTCCTCTGGACCCGCTCCAACAGGTCCGTGTCTTTCTCATGCTGAGGACCCCAGAGCTGGACGCAGT